TGCCTTCTTAGGTCGGACTTCTCCTCTGGGGCGCCGGGGCCGAGACTCTGATGTTGGGCTCGGCTTCCTGGCTGAACGCGAATCAGCCCATGAAAACTTCCAGCCCTACACAAAGGAAGGGGTTCAACAGAAGGCAGCGCCTGCTCTTTTGGGCCTGGCAGCAGGAAGGTCTACGGGAGAGGGAGGCTGCAGCGTGTAAAAAGGAGACTAGGTCGGACTTCTCCTCTGGGGCGCCGGGGCCGAGACTCTGATGTTGGGCTCGGCTTCCTGGCTGAACGCGAATCAGCCCATGAAAACTTCCAGCCCTACACAAAGGAAGGGGTTCAACAGAAGGCAGCGCCTGCTCTTTTGGGCCTGGCAGCAGGAAGGTCTACGGGAGAGGGAGGCTGCAGCGTGTAAAAAGGAGACTGAAAGGTAAAGTGGATCATCGTGACAATAGAAGAGCGGAAATAACCTGCAAGTGCTTTGGAAATCAGTTGCTGAAATTAGATTTTAGATGCCAGCTGCATTCTCATTTTCTACTGGTTCTTAGGTCATCACCGTGGTGGTAGAGTGGGTTCTAGTAGTCTGCAATGTGCCACCACATAGTGTGGTTCTTTTCCTTTCTCCCCAATGCGAAAGCTGTATGTTTTTAAGGCAGTATATGGACTTGTTTTTCTTGATGAAGGCAAGGTTGAAAGAAGTGCATCTACCCTTAGTGCTCAAGGGATGTGATGGTTAGATTCTGCAGCTGTTGATTCCTTGCTCTTGGACTGGACCAAAAAAGCTGCCTCCTACACCCATCTTGTTCTGTAATCAGTTGTCATCTGCATAACTTTGAATGATATAGGTATCATTAAATATCTTTTAGTTTAAGGAAAAACTTTAAAAAAAAAACCCACCCAAATAGCTGTGCCCACCAAAGCTCATGATACCCATCTACATGTTTTGTTAGTCTTTAAAGTGCTACCAGACTGTTGTTTCAAGTTTTTCCTGTTACAGACTAATTCAGGTACCCCTCTGAATATGAGACTAGGATTAATGTATTGAATCTGATACAGTCTTCTAAGCAAGCCTGTATAAAAAGTGGAGGACAAGTTTGATGTGCTTCTGGTAACCTGTATTGTTAAGGAGGAACTTTTGTACTCCATACCTTTGGAGAGTCCTGAGGGCCAACTATTTGATGTCCTGGTAGATTGCAGTTAGAGTTCCCTCATGATTGAGTTGAAGCTTGTATTTCTGAGGCCTGGTTGGAATACAGTCCCTTTTGTAGCCATTGATGTCCAGATGTGTGAACTCATGCCTGCTAGAGAGTTCAGCACGGATGAGGAATGGGGGAGAAATTCTCAATTGTGGATTGATTGAACCAATTTTATGCATGCGTTTTCAACCATGAATCTTTCTTGTACTCTCTGCAGTGTTTCTTCTGCAATCTTTACCTGACTTTAGCTGTTATTCACAAATACTGATCTCTGCCAAATTGTGATCTAGTTTGAGTTGTGATGTCACGTCGCAAAAGTAGTTAGACCTTGCAGTTACAGAATTCATAAATACATTGAGACATTTGTTTTAACATTTGCAAATGGGCTAGGTATTTACAGATTCCTCTTCTTACACTTTTAATTACTGTCTGTCCAAATGAATGTCTGTCCAATCAGAGAATTACATGGTATCCATGAATTTTACCTGAAGTTTCTAGCTATCAGAATACATTTGCCTTTAATTAAACTAACAGGAGCAGAGCTTAACTTCAGTTTTTTATTTAAAACTTCAAAGCTGTATTTCCTTGAAAAATCAGTGTCTCATATGGAGCTCCCCCGACTATTGTTTTTCTCATTCACACAGGTGACATTTAAGTTGAAGATGGGTGGTGGAGAAAGGTTCAACATTCCAGTTCCCCAGACTAGAAATATTACCAAGAAGAACAAACAACTTAACAGGCAAAAGAGTAAAGATCAGAATTCTCAAATGAAGATGACTTTTATGAAGAAAGAAAGAGGATATGGATGTAGCTCATCTATTGCATGGCAGGCCATGCAAAATGGGGGCAAGAATACTGTGTGCTTCCCAAGTAATCAGAATTGGAATCCTACTTTATCAGGTCCCAACTCACTTTTCACATCTCAAACCAATCAGAACTATGCTGGAGCAAAATTTAGTGAGCCACCTTCACCAAGTGTTCTTCCTAAACCACCAAGCCACTGGGTACCTGTTTCCTTTAATCCTTCTGATAAAGAAATAATGACCTTTCAACTTAAAACATTACTGAAAGTCCAGGCTTGAGAACTTAAAAAATTGGGGAAAAAGTTACAGGGATTCAAATTTGAGAATTTTAAGTCCATAGTTCCAAAATACACAGTTTTTTAGCTGCATATAAAAGTTGTCACAATGTGTGCACTTTTGAAGATGCCCAACTTAATACATCTCAAAGTTGTATGTACTGTGTGCACTTACTGTGACCATAAACAATGTACTTGCAATATCAGTATGCAATCTAAACCACATTTGATGGTCAGTAATGGTATAAAGCATTGCTCTCAAAATCTGAACCATGACCACTTAAAACACAGAGTTTGTCACTAGAAATGTCAGTAAAAGTTTTAATGTAATAGAGCGTTCATTGGAAAAAGCAGTTCACAGAAGCACACATCCTAAATTAGTATTTTTCATAATTGTTTCAAATCAGTAAATTGTGTGAAACATGTTGAAAGATAACCAAGAATTGTACAAAATAAATCCACATCTAGCCCTTAAGATATTTTTTTTAAATTGAGTTTTTATTAGGAGTTTGTGGATCAGAGATTGACAAAACAGACAAACCTGTGACTAAAAGTGAGCTTTGCTTTTTTTTTTTTTTTTTTAAATAAAGGAAATGTATTCCCTGCAAATGATCTTGTAATGATGCAAAACAATGTCAGGCAGTTTTAACATCTTGATCACTTCAAAGATTTAGAAATGCATTTTTCTTTTGAAATTGAACAATTTGAAATGTGCCAAAGCATTTTGCACTGCCAGGTGACTGCCAAAAAGAATCTAAAACCTTTCCTTTATTGCGATTGCACTGAGCAGTTTTTAAAATGTTTTAATCAGTTTATATTTGAAAAATGTGAATGATAAAATTGCTTGGGCTAGTCTTAAATTAGATACCCTGTAGTAAGAATTTGTTTAAACTAATGTTGCTTGGGGCAAGCATGAAATGCTTACATAGGTAGGGGAAAAAAGAGCCATGTAAATAAAATGTAAAACTTTGTAGCATATGTAAATTTATGCTGGGCTTTCCTGCAGAAAGTATTTTTAGTACAAAACTGCTGAATGTAAGATGACCATGCTGAGTACATGGCCTGATTTAAAAAAAAATATTTTGTTTAAAGAAACAAAGCACACACGTGGCTGTGCCCTTGCACTTAAGTACTAGTGAACGTTCAGATTGATTTTGTTGTAAACTTTTTTAATTTAGTGCAAGAGGCTTTTAGAATTTATAACAAAAAAAAAACACCCTACACAGATTTGTATAAGATGCACTTGTTTTGAATGTATAAAAGTGACTTTAGCTGGGTTATGAACTGTTATAGTAAAGTTTCTAAGATGTATTGATGTAAAGGTATCAGGTCTCAGACATGTTTATATAAATGTGTAAGATCTAGAGCTTTGCCTAAAAAGTATTTTAGCTGTTTTTATACAGCATTCTTGTATTTGAATACAGTAACTATTGAAACTGTAATAATGAAAGCCAGGTGTGGATGGCTTAATCTTCATTTGGTATCTAAATGTCTCAATATTGTATTTAATATCCCTCCCCTTAAAAGAACCACTGCAGTACTGTTCCATTTAAAAACAATGATATATAAAACCATACTAAGTCTTCCTTCTGAACTTTATTCCCAATATGCTGGTTGCCAGCATGTTAGTGTTTAAATAAAAGATGTTTGTAATACACCCACTACTTGATTTTATTTAGTGATGCCATTATCCACTGTCTACAAAAGCACAGAGGCTTCTGTGGTGGAAGCAAGAAACTGCATTGTGACATACTGAAAGGAAAAGATGACAATTTAACCTATAATCAGCAATAACAAAGGGGAAGTAAATAGGGTAGTAATTACAAAAGTGGCTTATATATAGCTTACTAAAGCAAAAGTGGTTCTTAAGTGCATATAGTTCTGTTTATACATTCAAAATGTGTTGGCAGCTATCACTGTTTACATGCATGTTCTCTGCAGAAGATGAATAGATGAGTTTTCTAAACTTATGTCCCTCATCTCCCCAGACTCACGAAATGTCATCCAGTGCACCCAAAGTGTCATTGCTATATATTGGAAAGCTTAAAGTGTTTATGAAGTACTACTTGTACATGTATCAATTGGAAAGCTCAAAATAAATAAATCTTCTCTCCCTAAACATGTCTGGTTCTTTTCTTAAAAGAAAATGTTGCACAAAAGCCTTTAGTGTAAGAGCATCCATGGCAGCGTAGACATTCTCTTGCACAAGAAAGCACTGATGGCCATTTTAGCCATAAGGCTTTCTTGCGCAAGAAATTCACACTACCTTCTTGTGGAAGAGCTTTTGCGCAAGAGGGGTTATTACTTGGAGAGGAATAACTTCCGGAAGAAGCCCTGTTTTCTGACGCTGTACTGTAAATTTACTTGCACAAGAACAAGTGTGCAGTGTAGACGCTCTGCAAGTTTTTGTGCAAGAAAGGCTACATCTACACTGCAGGCTATGTGAATTTCAGCAGAGGAAGGATTCTATTGGTAAAAGATGGTATAAGTCTTAAGAGTCTGAAATAAGATTACCAAAAGAGGGAACACATCTGTGTGATTATGGATTTGAGTACTCAGCAGTAGCTAACTAGGTAGTAAAAGACTTGGATGGCAACAGCTGGCAAGATTTTTAAATCTTGGAGGAGTAAGAAGGAAGACACATTAGCTTTCATACCTGGGAGATAGGATTGATAGTGGAATTGTAAATTGAAAGAGGCAGAGAAAAACTACTGAAGCCAGGGCCTAGATACACTCATTGTTTCCTCATACTCATCTGCAGGGCTTAACAAACAGCAGCAAAAACCGCTTGCAAGCCCCATACTGCGCATGCACGCACTGAGAATGAACGGGGCACGCGGCTGAAATCTTCTCTCCATGGGCAAGTAGACTGTATAGTTTGTCGAGCCTTGCTCATCTGTGATTAGCAGTTACAGACTAAATACAAGACAAAATGTAAGCTTTTGGCTAAAACACTACCTTTGAGGGCCTGATTCATTACAGGAGGGGTCTTAAAGGTGCTATCAGAATAGCAAAAGAAATGATGTTTGTAACTTGAAGGTACAACTGAAATCAGTGGTATAGAGTTAGCCACTAAAGCCATAGGTGAGCTTAAGAAAAGATGGATTTAGTATTTCCTGGGATTATTGAACCATTTTGATTATACTTTTACTGCCTCATTAGGGACTACTTGTTCCTTAATCTGTGTATAATTCCAAAATTTACTAGTTTTTCTGCTGGCTGAAACATTTTACACGTGACAGGTTTCCACAGTAGGGCTAAGTTTAAAGTTTTCTTGCAAGGAAAGCATTCTGCAAGGGATTCAATTCTCCCCTTCACAGCTGAAGCCTGAGAACTTACTCTAGGGGATATGCCTGTCCTATAAACAGAAATTTTAAAAAGCAAATCATTTTGGAAGGTACCTTTAAAGAGAAGCAACCCTTACATTTTTTTCAAACTCAATTTCAATCAAATCCAGAATGTAAATGAACAACTATTAAAGAAAAAAAAAATTGAGATTTCAACTCAATATTGGGGTAAACTGAATATATGGAATTAGAAAAATCTAGTCCTCCGCCTCCCCCTCCCCAGGATAGGTTGTGTCCCCCTAACAGGATTCCATTGTAGGTGCTACAGAATAGTGCTTATGCTATTTTTATAAGTGCTGGTGTTGTTCCAGATTGCGAGTTGCTGCCAGCCTATGAAAGAATGTCCATTCCTAGTTTATAGAAAATCTGCATGCCTTTGACACAAGCAACTAAAAGTTTCATGCCAGCTATCATAAAGGCTATCCAAAATATTTCCATAACTTGTGCAGAAAAAGCTGCACATGATTTGACAAGTAGAAAGCTAATACAAAAAACCTATATTGAGTAACATTGATCAACACTTGTTCATAACTGCAACTTCAAAACAAAGTTTCCTCATATCTATGCATTAATCTCCCAATGGATTTGAAAGTTATACAGTACTTTAGCTCTACAAGAGATAGAATCCTAGGACTGGAAAGGACCTTGGGAAGTCATTGAATGCAGTGCCCTGCTCTCATGGCAGGACCCAGTACTGTCTAGACCAGTGTTTCTTAAACAGTGTTCCAGTGCTGTGCCATGGAGAACAAGAATTCAAAATGGCTGCCCTTAAAAGGACAGGCAACCTTTATTTTTGCTCAGTAACCCCCCCCCCCCCCCCCCCTTTTTTTGCTCAGCAAAAAATCCTTTGGTGTTCCTCATTAAAAAATGTGTTCCTCGGTCTTAAAAAGTTTAAGAAACACTGGTCTAGACCATCCCTGATATTTATCTGACGTACTTTTAAATATCTCCACAGGAAGAACAATTTTTCTCCCTCCTCCTTGTGACATCCTTTTAGATACCTGAAAAACACTATCATGTCCCCTCTCAATCTTCTCTTTTCCAAACTAAACAAGCCCAATTCTTTCAGTCTTCCTTCATAAGTAAAGTTCTGTAGACATTTAATCAAATAGGTGGAACCAAGGAAAGTCTGCCCAATGGTATTTCAAGGTAGGATGACCACCATGTGACTTATGTGGAACAGACTGTGGTCAGTTGAAGTCAGAAGGTGCTTACATTACAGTATAGCCAAAATCCTGTACATTTTCTTCAATTCCGTTATTTGGCACATTGAACATTGAAAAGGTAAGGCATAATGGTGAGGTGTACAAAGAAAACCTTAACATCTTTCCCCCACCCTACATTCTATATAAGTGTCTTCAGACAAATCTGATAGCTCTCTAGATTTTTAAAAATAGCATTGCCATATTTTTTGCATTTAGCATGTTGATTTTTAAATAGAGTATCAAGGAATGTATTCTGAGAAGCGTGCCTGACAAATGAAACATAAGTTATGTAACAGACCTAGGACTGCAGTACAACAGTCCTCTTAACATTTCCAGTTATATTAAGAGAGTTCATTTTAAAAGCTGTTTTC